TCACACGTTCTTATGACTTCCAACATTTGACTAGCTATTTAAACTTCTCGCTGTGCATATTTGCACACCCGCTGCTATTTATTTCGTCGCGATAATACTTCGCTGACTAAGAGCTACATTATGCGTGTTGTGTAGGCGGTAGCTAACCAAACGCGGGTGAGTAAGTACCAGAGCCGTCAGCTGATGATGCTGCGCTGAATAATTCCCTTCAGCTGTAGACGTAAAACTGTGAAGTCATCCTGTGGGCTTTTTGTCAGTTCTCTAGTGGCTGGCTTTGGCGTAGAAATTCTTTTTTTGTCGTGTTGACTGTGTGGAACATGACCGCAATAAGCTGATATTTGTCTTAAAATGGAAGACAGGTCCAAGGAAACTGCAAGGAATTGTTCCAGCAAAAGATCGCTAAACAGTGAGCTGAAAGTTCGTCGGACAGAGGCCAGATTCCGGTATGGACTAATTAAGTTATTTCTTAATCAGGCAATTAGGAAAGATATATTCTATCCGTTGAGTGAACTCGTACTTGTGATAACTGCGTAATACAACGAATAGCCGAGTTCCAGGAAATAGTTCAAAAGTAGGTGTGATCGCTAGAACAAGAAATTTACTTGCCTGACGTTTCGGATTCTGTCAAAAACCCTCCATCACAGTTAACCGTAGAATATGGTAATACGTGCAAGAAACCAAACCTAACCGGTCCAAAAGTTTAGCGAGCTTTTCAGAACGTGAAAAATGTATCCGAAGCAGTCAGTCACCTCCAGCTTGGAGTTGGAGTTCCGCACTGTCCAGAAGCAACCATCAGGCACTGGGTCATAAGACTGAAAGCCTCTCTGCCACGGCAGGAAACTGTTGAATTCGTTTACCGTATCTGGTACAGTTGTGAACTAAGCAACTATTTCGAAGAAACAGGGACGTTATTCCGGACGCGAATGGCTGAGCACTCAGCAGTGGTGACGAGGAAAGACGCTAACTCCCAGGTTTCAGCTCACTCGAGAGCCCTGGCCATACTTTTAAGTTTAACGAGGCGGAAGTTCTCGCAAGAGGTGACAACCCAGTGAACCAGGAGCTGCCCGAGCCATGATTCTCGGGCCTATAGTCAATCAACAAGCGCAACGTCTTGCCGTTCCCATACTCCGTACTGAGAAATTGTCTGAGCAGGAGAATCAGTCACATGAAAAGGGTCAGGCCCAGCAACAACTGCGACGACAAGGAACATAATTATCGCATAATTATCAAGCCCGCATCCAACACAGATTATGAAATTGCGGCCAGTAGTGACTCGATCTGACCCTTCCGCCTGCGTCTTGGATGAAATTGGCATCTGGTGCAAAGCGGTGATCGAAAACTGGTTTTCCGAATCGATCTCAGTACAGAACGGAATGTGGTCTCCCTGTTCTGCTTTATAGTTTCCGTAAAGAACCTGTGTAGGCTGGCTAGCTAGTAGCCCTTGTTGGATCATGAGCCCCGCCGGGTGGGCCTCAATCCGGC